TGGAGAGAGGGAAGTCTGGGCATCTTTGCTTAGACTGCTGCCCCCACGACCCGGTTCCGGATAAGCGGAGGAAAATGGATGGATGGATGGATGATTTTTGATCAAGTCTTAAATCACTGTTGCACAGCCATTGTACAATAGTGAAATGTAGGTGAGGAGGGGCTGTTTAATATGATGCTGTATCACACACTACTAGTGGATCGCATCATTTCTCTAACGGGAGCCCTGCAGCTTGGGCTGACTGATGGCAGCCGCGCACTGTATGGTCCCAGAGAATAACTTGAGTAGCACGCACGTGTGTGCGTGTTACCGCCAAATACCAAACATGGCTTTGGTTTGATCGACCTGTTTTAAAGTCCTGTTTACTGTGTAAACTGATAAACCCAGATGGTTGTGAGTGTACACAATAGTTTTCAGGTTGACTGATTAAAGTACGGTTGAACCTTGGATTGCGAGTATAATTCGTTCCCGCAACATGCTTGTAATCCAAAGCACTTGTATATCAAAGTGAATTTCCACATAAGAAATAATGGAAACTCAGATGATTTGTTCCACGCCCACTTATCCATATAAAAATGGTTACAGTAATACAAAATACAATATAAAGTAAAAATAAAACAGATCTATTTTACCTTTGAAAAGAATTGTGGCTGGCGTGAGGGGCCATTGTTGCAGTACAGATATTGACTATACAAGTGAAGCGAGAGAACATCAGTTCAGCTGTGACGTACCTCGTGACGCTCGGCAGACAAAGCATACATACTACTCGTATTGCAAGACCTTGCTCGTATATCGAATCAAAATTTTTTGCTTGTCTTGCAAAACACTCACAATCTAAGGTTCCACTGTTGGAGATTTTATTTGAAGTCGTGCCCAGCGTTAACACCTGCCAGGCACATGCATTACTCGAGCTGCCTGTACTGTACACAACACAATAATTTATGGTCCCAGAGAATAACTTGAGTAGCACGCACGTGTGTGCGTGTTACCGCCAAATACCAAACATGGCTTTGGTTTGATCGACCTGTTTTAAAGTCCTGTTTACTGTGTAAACTGATAAACCCAGATGGTTGTGAGTGTACACAATAGTTTTCAGGTTGACTGATTAAAGTACGGTTGAACCTTGGATTGCGAGTATAATTCGTTCCCGCAACATGCTTGTAATCCAAAGCACTTGTATATCAAAGTGAATTTCCACATAAGAAATAATGGAAACTCAGATGATTTGTTCCACGCCCACTTATCCATATAAAAATGATTACAGTAATACAAAATACAATATAAAGTAAAAATAAAACAAATGAACCTGCATTTTACCTTTGAAAAGAATTGTGGCTGGCGTGAGGGGCCATTGTTGCAGTACAGATATTGACTATACAAGTGAAAAAGATCTCGAGAATATTATGCCTTTCCAAAAAAGCCAGTAACTGAGTGTAAACTATCCTCTCTAGAACCTTGGAAAGAAATGGCAGATTAGAAATAGGCCGAAAATTAGTAAGCACTGTAAGATCCAGACCAGGTTTCTTAATCAATAACTGCACCACTGCATGTTTAAAATTCCTTGGAACCAGCCCAGAGGATAAGCTACTATTAATAATAGAAAAGACAAAAGGCCCCACAACCGGGAAAAACTTTTAAAAATCGAGGAGGAATAGCATCATTTGGAGAGCCAGAGGGATTCAAACGCCCAACAATCTCCTGGCAACTGGACACAGGCACACACTCGAATTGATCAAAAATAGCAGGGCAGGAACGAGAAACAGGAAAGTCATAAACGGGAGCTAGAATTTGAGCTCTAGTAGAAAGAATCTTGTCATTGAAGAAATGTAAAAATTTTTGACAAAGGGCAGAGGAGGACTCAACACAGGCAACCTGAGGAACATTCAGAACGGACAAGTAAAGTGAAAATCTAGTGCAAGCTCCTCTGTGTCCGCAAAGTCAGAAATTACAAGATTTTCACTAAAGAAAGTGGAGAACTGAGAGCATCATTTGGAGAGCCAGAGGGATTCAAACGCCCAACAATCTCCTGGCAACTGGACACAGGCACACACTCGAATTGATCAAAAATAGCAGGGCAGGAACGAGAAACAGGAAAGTCATAAACGGGAGCTAGAATTTGAGCTCTAGTAGAAAGAATCTTGTCATTGAAGAAATGTAAAAATTTTTGACAAAGGGCAGAGGAGGACTCAACACAGGCAACCTGAGGAACATTCAGAACGGACAAGTAAAGTGAAAATCTAGTGCAAGCTCCTCTGTGTCCGCAAAGTCAGAAATTACAAGATTTTCACTAAAGAAAGTGGAGAACTGAGAAGAAGTGGAAGAATTAAACGTACGGCAAAACCGTGGAATAGCACATGGTGCAGTTGTATCACAAAATCAATTTCAAATAACACAGGCAAATTATCTGAGAACACAGCATCACAAATTTCTAATTCACAAACTGGCACACCATAAGATAGGACAAGATCCAAGGTGTGCCCATGCTCATGGGTGGGACCAGCCACAAATTGTGTAAAGATTAAAAGAGTCAATAAGATCTAAAAAAAAAAGCCTTAACTAAAGGTTTGTCCAGACAGCAAACATGGATATTAAAATCCCCAATAATTAAAACCCGGTCATATCTGGGCATAAAATTGACCAAGAATTCAGAAAAGACACATAAAATCCTTGTGGTGGGCGATAAATCACAGCCCACAATAAGGCCGGAGAATGACCAAGCTCAAATAAGAACAACTCAGAACTGGAGAAGGAAGGCAAAGATGAAATCTGCTTGCATTTAAAAGTCGTTTTAGAAACAGTAGCTATTCCCCTTCCACGGCCCGATGGCCTCGGGGAGTTAAGAAAAGTACAGTCAGGCGGCTGAAGTTCAAGAAAAGCACTGGACTCACCCACACCTAGCTAGGTCTTAGTCACACAAAGGAAATCAAAGTTCTGGGAAGTAAAGAAATCCTTTAAAATAAGTCTTATTTGCCCGCGATCTGGCATTAACTAGGCCGATCTTGATAGGAGCCGGCAGGGCAGACAGCCTGAGGGCACGCTTCAGTGACCGTAGATTCGTTAACCCCACATCGGCATAGACCTGGATAGCAGCTACGAGGCCACCCACTCCCCCAAGCCAACCACCGACACCAGCAATGAGCGGACAGGGTCCAGAGAACGCTGCGAAGCCCAGAGGCTGGCAGAATCAAAGAAGCCAAGGGAAAACCTCGCCAGGGAGGCCTTTAGCCTTACTGTCCACCTCGCCTGCCCCAACTTCTCTGCCTCCTCCTCCTCCTCCTCCTCCTGAATGGGAGAGCCGGAATACGGCGAAGGTAAGCGGGTATTCCTGATAAAAACAGAGGTAGGGACTTGTGCCCGGGACGATCAAACTGCACAAAGTTGGAAACATCCAATCGCAGATTCAGCAGAGCTTCAGTCATACGACAAAAGGGAGTCGCCATTCCGGATAAAAAAAATGAACAATACAACACAAAAACAAACAGAATTAAGAGCGATAGACGGCAGGCCGAACACACTGGCGCCTTCTTGGACCATATTTAGTTTGTCGTAAATGCACCAAATTCAGATGGCTTCATACATTCTGCTAAAGATCTTAATTTTTAAAAGTAAATGTTTTGCTACCAGTAAGTAGTTAAGACTTAAGTACAATAGCACCAGTAAACAGGCGGCTGTGGCTCAGGAGGTACAGCGGGTTGTTTCCTAACCGGAGGATTATCGGTTCGACATGTTGACTGGACAAGCCGGGAATCGAAGTGTCCTTGAGCAAGACACTGAAACCCCAGTTGCTCCCGGTGATGTCACCGGTGTGTGAATGCGTGAGTGCAAATGGGTGAATGGCCGAATAATGTGAAAGCGCTTTGAGCGTGCTGTAAAAGCGTAGAAAGGTGCTATACATGTGTAAGACCATTTACCATAAACGCAGCTGTTATTGGATTGTGGTTCAAATATCTGCAAGTCCTGATTGCGTGGAAATATGACATCACCATTCTCCAGCTGAGCGCCAGACAGATGAAACCAGGCACATCTTTAATACAAATTGCGCAGTCAAAAACGGCTTTAGAAACTGTTGACATTAGAATAAAAAATTTACCTGAAATGTGTGCACCTGACAGAGAGAAGCTGATTGCTAATTGGTTTGACCTTGAACAAGTCACTAAAATGCATGTATGTATGTATATGTATGTGTGTATGTATGTATGTATATGTATGTCTCCAAATGGTAAACCCATTTTATAGAGCAAGCTTAGGCTTGAAGTTGGTCTCATAACTCCAATCATCTCTTTTTGTCTTTTTGTGTTCTTGTTGTCGTTGCAGGTGCTCACTGAACAAGGCCGCAGACATGGTGAACATCCCAGAATACTATGCAGGGAAAAATGTGCTGATAACTGGAGTAACGGGCTTCATGGGCAAGGTATAGTAGTGGCTGACTAAGCAAGTTGGCCAACAGGACAAATTGCAATATGAGCTGGCAAGGAAATCCTTTAAGTGGATTCCTTTCACTCACTCATGCCAGCATGAGTTGCAAATGAATGAGACTGACTTCTTGCTGCTTTGTAATAGTTTGCATTTCTGCTCTCGAGGATGTCCTTTCTACTCCTGTTAAACAGGAAGTGTATAAGCAAATAGGTGTCACAGATGTTTTTACACCTTGAAGTGAAGCTGGAAGAATGAAGATGTCAGTCACAACATGTAGAGATTACTATAGGTTTTTTTTTGTGTGTGTGTGTGTGTGTGTGAGATGTCTGTGCTTTTACTGCTGCCTTCCACCTCACTGCAGCCAATGTGTTTGTTTGCTTCTTCAGATAGTGTGGAGGATGAAAGAAGGAAGTGACTGTTTAACTAAGGTTAACCAGACTAGTTGACTTTTCTCCACCTCCTATCATGACAAAAAGGAGGTTACAGTTCTAAGTGTTAGGATTAGGTGACTTTGCACTTTGATTCTTTGTAGAATGACAAGTTGTAGCATCTTATTTTAATTCTTGATTAAAGGTGCTGTTGGAGAAGCTGCTGAGGTCCTGTCCAGGAGTCAAAGCTGTCTATGTGATGGTGAGGTCAAAAGCCGGCCAGAGTCCTCAGGCCCGCATTGTCGACATGATCAACTGCAAGGTGAGCACTGAGCTAAGCAAATGGTGATAGGTGTTAGAAGAGAGTGTGATAGAAAAGGAGCAACCAGTTATGCTATGCTTGTGAACCCCCCACAACCATAACCACAACCATCAAACTGTCAGCAAATAGTTTTCTTGTTCACTTGTCTCCCTCTCTCGCTTAACACTCTAGCTTGCTCTATCATCTTTCACTTGTTTGCACACCAACAGTTCCTGCCCATGTGCACCAAAAATGACATCACAACTGCTGGCATGCGGTGCACACTGGATTGTGGCAGACGAATAACATGCAGTCTGAGGAAACAAACCTTTCTCAAATTAATACATGAAACAAATGCGGTGCACATTGTATTTCGTCATATGTGGTTGGACTTTAATCACACTGTATTGTTATGGCCTCTGCTTTTTAATGAACTGCCATTGCATGACTAGATGGAATTTCGCATCAGTCAGTATTTTTTTTCCCCAAATAAGATGGTCTAACAGAACATGAGTCAATATATCTGGTCTACTGTACATAATCAAATCAGTGCTAGAAAAGAGGAATAAAGGACACATAGGCTGCAGCTAGTCATACATACAGTCATACATTCTTTTTTTATTTTTATTTTTTATTATTATTGAATCAAATCGTATAGTCCCATCCGTCTTCGTCTGCTTTATCCAAGACCGGGTCGTGGGGCAGTAGCCTGAGTAGAGCCTCCCAGACTTCCCTCTCCCCACACACTTCTCTAGCTCCCCAGGAGGAACCCCAAGGCGTTCCCAGGCCTGCCGGGAGACAGTCTCTCCAACGTGTCCTGGGTCTGCCCCAAGGCCTTCTCCTGGAGGGACATGCCCGGAATACCTACCCAGGGAGGCGTCCAGGGGGCATCCTAAACGGCCACCTCAATTGGTTCCGCTCAAGGTGGCGGGGCGGCAGCTCTACTCTGAGCTCCGCACCCTATCGTCCCATCCCCACTAAATGGTGCACACATTTCCTGGTTATAATGTGATCAGTACAAAACCGATAAATGCTAATTAGTGGCTCACTTTCGCTTGTACTGATCACACTGGGTGGGTAGAGGTGCCCGAGTTGTTGTGTTGTAAGTTGACTACACCTAAGAAGGCAGCTATGCCAGAATACACACACACACACACACACACACACACACACACACAGTTTGTTCTGTAGTCCATGGGGACCTCAATGTAGGTCCCCACCGTGAAATGGGTCCTCATGAGTTGGTATGGAATCAGGAAGAAGTCCCCACGTAGCAGGGAAAACACGTCCACACACAGTCTCATGCAAAAGTTTAGGCACCCCTTGATAAATAACAGATTTTGGTGATTTTTTTTATTTTTTATTTAAAAAGATGTTAACACAGTCTCTCTTGGAAATGAAAAGTATTTTCAGCAAACAGTGATGCATAGTTACTTCTTATGCCATAAATTGAACAAAAATAAAAACATTATTATGGCACGGTGCAAAAGTTTGGGCACTCTAAGAGTCTCCGTGCACACACTTGCGGACACCCAGCAACCATGGGTTCCTCTAAGCAGCTGTGTAAGACCCTGAAAATGAAAGTTATTGATGCCCACAATGCAGGAGAAGGCTACAAGAAGATAGCAAAGCGTTGTCAGCTTGCAGTTTCCACAGTAAGAAATGTAATTAAGAGATGGCAGATCAGGGGAACTGTGGAGGTCAAGATGAGATCTGGAAGACCAAGAAAACTCTCGGACAGAACTGCTCGTATGCTGGTCAGAAAGACAAATCAAAACCCCCATTTGACTGCAAAAATCCTGCAGGAAGATTTAGCAGACTCAGGAGTGGTGGTGCACCGTTCCACTGTGCAGCGATGCTTGCACAGACAAGGCCTTCATGGAAGAGTCAGCAGAAGAAAACCTTATCTGCGTCCCCATCATAAAATCCAACGTCTGAAGTATGCAACAGGACATCTACAGAAGCCCGATGCGTTTTGGAAACAAGTGCTGTGGCCTGATGCAGTTAAAATAGAACTCTTTGGACACAATCAGCAAAGGCATGTTTGGAGAAAAAAAGGAGCAGCATTTCATGAAAAGAACACCTTGCCAACTATTAAGCATGGGGGTGGATCTATCATGCTCTGGGGTTGTGTTGCAGCCAGTGGCACAGGAAACATTGCACGGGTGGAGGGAAGAATGGATTCCATTAAATACCAGCAAATTCTGGAAGCAAACATCACACCATCTGTAAAAAAGCTGAAGCTGAAAAGAGGATGGCTTCTACAACAGGAACATGATCCTAAACATACCTCGAAATCCACTATGGAATACCTCAAGAGACGCAGGCTGAAGGTTTTGGAATGGCCATCACAGTCCCCTGATTTAAACATCATTGGAAATTTGTGGGTAGATCTTAAAAGAGCTGTGCATGCAAGACGACCACAGAATATTACAGAACTAGAAGCCTTTTGCAAGGAAGAATGGGAGAAGATCCCAAGTATAAGAATTGAAAGACTTTTAGCTGGCTATGAAAAGTGTTTGCAAGCTGTGATATCTGCCAGAGGAGGTGTTACTAAGTACTGATTGTGTAGGGTGCCCAAACTTTTGCACCATGCCATAATAATGTTTTTATTTTTTATTTTTGTTCAATTTATGGCATAAGAAGTAACTATGCATCACTGTTTGCTGAAAATATTGTGCATTTTTTCCATTTCCAAGAGAGACTGTGTTAACATCTTTTTAAATAAAAAATCACCAGAATCTGTTATTTATCAAGGGGTGCCTAAACTTTTGCATGAGTAAAGGTATAGTCAATGATACTAACAAAATGTTACATTTTGATCACCATGTACACAAATCCACAAGTCGTTTCAGTTGGGATCTCCTAAACACATCCTCACAATTGATAAATACGCGTTACCTTGACAACTATGCTAGCAGATGGAGGAAGATCTGATGCCAAAGCAGACCTTGGAAAGCTAGTGAGTGGGACACAAGGTGGCTAACCAGCTACAATTTTGTGACCTTGTTGACCTCTAACTTGACATCAAACCTCTTGTCATCTGGTACAACAGGCTAGAGACTAAGCTGACACTGCTTACATCAATGGCTTTTAGATAAGAGGAGGAAAGAAGAACTCCAAGAAGCAGGGACCTGTTGTAGGATGAATGCAAGGAAAATGGAACATTGTGCCATCAGCCGTGCGCTGGTGATGGAACTGTAGACAAAGAAGGAATGATTTGTACTCTGAATTAAAGTCCAGTGACTTATACTTAAGTTTATACCTGTGCTTACTATGTGTTGTAACTTTGGCATAATTTTCACCTCCCCACCCATTCAGTTGTTTGAAAGACTGCAACGCGAGCAGCCCGGCTTTGCACAGAAGATCATTGCATTGAACAGCGACCTCACACAGCCAGATCTGGATCTGAATAAAGAGGATCAGAGCATCCTGGCTGAAAATGTTAACATCATCTTCCACTGTGCTGCTACAGTCCGCTTTAATGAGTCACTCAAGTGAGTTATTGCATTTTGATTTTTCAAAACTATGTTGAGAATTTTGAGGAAAATGTAGCCTACTTTTCCCGCCTCTTTATCTACAATGACAGTTATGTTTCTTTCTGTTGTAGTACTGATAAAGGTCTGTTTAGTGAAATACCACACAGCAGAATGATGTTTGTTATGGATGCTGACCTGACACTAAAAGCAACTTGGTGTTGATAGTGTGCCCTGTTGCTATTTGCAGTAAACAGGGACGCTTGACACCAGTCATGCCTCCCTCAGTAAATGACTTTCTGCAGGAAAATGGCACACGCTATGGTGAGAGATTTAAGACTGTTTGGGAGGAAGAGAAACTTCTAATTTTGAAAGGCATTTGTAAATCCAGTGGTCCCCCTGTGGGAGATGAGCACATTTTTTTTCTGAGTGAAATGAAGTTGAAGTCTCGTGTGCATTAAGGGATGACACTGGTGGCTTTGTATGTTTCTGTTAAATCCCATGTGGCCACAACAACTGTAGTGTACTAAATGGTATTGTCTGTGCATCCCTGAACCTGATTTAGCTTATTCATTTGTGCCATAGAGCTCTACTGCTGGCCAGACATTGAGCCACTGCACTGGTTGCATGTCTCATAAAATTTGTTCCTTTTTCCCCCTCAGAGATTCAATGCAGCTGAATTTCTTGGCCACCCAGAAGATGTTGGCATTGGCTCGCATGATGAACCACCTGGAGGTCTTCATTCATGTCTCCACAGCCTACGCCAACTGTGACCGAGAGGTCATTGAAGAAATCATCTACCAACCTCCTGTAGACTACCACAAGCTCATTGATACTCTGGAGTAAGATGATCAGTACTCTAATGGTTAGCTTTGCCTGGACTGGTTCATGTACTTGTACATAGATTTGGGGATGGCCCAGTCATTAAGCTACAGTAGCACTGGATTGTGCTTGAGGTTAAAGGATTCTTTAACTTTGTTTTTTTTTTCCCAGTGCTTCTGCGTTGTTGTTGTTGTTGTTGTTGTTGTTGTTGTTGTTGTTTTCCTAGCTTAAAAAAAAAAGTATTAAGATTAATGACGGTGAGACACGGAGCATGGTAGTTTAGCCGTGGCAGGCCATCAAATGTCTGCTTGAGAGCACTAATGTTGTAGAGGCTGCCAGTCTTGGCTGTTAAGTGAGATTAGAAAAGCATTAGAAGCCTGCAGAGTGAGTTGAGAATAGTGGGCAGATTCTGTGGGACTGTAGGCAAAAATTTGGTAGGCCAGTGCAAAAGTGGATGGGCTTTCTTTTCCCAGTAAAAATTGTGTGTTAAACCAGCAGTGCGTAGACCTTTTTGACTGCACACAGCAGTATAGAAAACAGCTGTCTGTTACAGCCTATGCAGCCTAAAATTGATTTGCATGCAGTTCCTTTTAAAGAGCCCATAGCATGCTTTTCCTTGTCTTCTGACTTATCTACAGTGTTAGATTTAAGGTTATCATTTTAAATGTGACAAATCTCTAAAAATGAAGTGTTCATATGTTGTACTTTTATGTAGAAGCAACTTGGTTTATACATGTCTCCCATCTGTTGCTGGCAAGACTTTTTATCTCAAATATGTAAGGTCTTAGGCAATAGTTTACAGATTTTCCTTGAATGGTCATACTCTGGCATCATGAAGATGCTGCCTTGCTAGAACAAGATGTTCTGCACAGCAGGGGACAATAGCTTTTCCTCATCGGCAAACTTGGCAAGAAATTGTAGGGCTGATGTGTTCGTTGCACTCTGCTTTTCCACTGTATTTCCCTGCCTGTGCACACACCCACACAGGTTGAGAGCCTCAAGGCAGCATTCAGTGCTGCTTAATCATGGTGCAACATAATCAGCCAGTAACTGAAGCCAGAACACAAACTTGCAGAACTTGGCTGATTTGCTCGCACTGAACTAGCCTTAGCCCTTGTTTTACCTCTAAACCAGTGTGAGTGGAGTCCCTGAATTCAAAGAGCTCAACCCTTTCCCTAGACGATGTAGACATCCTCGGATTTATTTTTAAGATCTTATTAAAACATCTTGAATATCATTTTCACCTGAGACCATGGACAATACCCCTTGGTTTTGTGAACTGCCCTTATTTCATGGACAGGCTTATTAATCTTAAGTTAGTAATAGGTTTTAATTTGACTTACCCTAAAACTACTGAGAGCTGATTAGACTGGAGTATTATCATAACAGACTGGGGTACTTAGACCAAAAGAAAGGGGTAAATCAGTGGTTTGTGGTTTTTAAGTTCTTAATAAATAACCCTATCTACCTGCACACAATGCAACATATTCCCACATCTAGTGTAGATGGCGAAACAGGAGAGGCAACATTTTTGGCTTTTCTAGATTTGTGCTGTTAAATTTAAACTTTTTTCTTCCTCCCCTGCCCCAGCTGGATGGATGACGATCTGGTGTCAGTGCTGACCCCCAAGCTGATAGGAGAGCGCCCAAACACCTATACCTACACCAAAGCTTTGGCTGAATACCTGTTGCAACAGGAGGCTGGAGACCTCAACATAGCCATTGTCAGACCTTCCATAATTGGAGCCAGCTGGAAAGAGCCTTTCCCAGTGAGTAATTGGGTAGGGCTGCATGATAAATCGTTTTGTGAGCATGATTTAGATTCCTGTGTGATCTCAGTCTTGCGTGACAATGATTCTGCCATGTTAACGTTCACTGTCACCTTCATACTCAGTCTTTCTAGGTAAAGTCCTGATTCAAAAATTTTCAGGTTCAGTTCTTGAGACCATTCTGCTCCTGGAAACACTCAACACCTCTAGAAATGGTTTTATAAAGTTCCTTGAACTTTATAGGATAGCTTTTGTCCTGATAAACAATGTGAACTGAGGGACTTGAGTCAGGTTCTAGACACATTTCAAGGAAAACTAAAGGAAACGGGAAGCACAAATGGCACAGATCTGAAACACTATAGGCAAAAGTACAAATTGCCCACTTTTGGTGCCAGTCAGACATCAATGTATTGTCGTAGAAACACAAGCAATTGTCCCACCTGACAAGTTATAACTAGCACACATTTTGATGGACTGTATCCTACAGTAAGTCATTTGTTTTCCCCAATAAACCTGCTAGTCTCATTTTGTAATTTGATGCTGCCTTTCTCTCACTACTCTTACAGGGTTGGATTGATAATTTCAATGGACCTAGTGGCATATTCATTGCCGTAAGTACTACAAGAAACTGTTTATGGTCTAACAAAAGTGTGTTGATAGCAGTTGACCTTGTTCTTACTGCTGTCAAAAGCTGTAACACCGATGGTTAACAAATTAGTGTTTTTGATCTCTAAATTCTGAGGCATAGTTAAAATGTATCGGTAGATCCTCACATTTGAGAAACTGAATAGTGAATGTTTGACATTTATGCTTGGAAATCTGACTATCAAAATAGCTGCTGTTTTGGTTTTTCCCCCCTCCCCCCATGAACTTAATCATTTCAAAGTTGTTGATTAGTACTAGATTTTTAAACCGTGTTTACAACCACAAGGGGATCTGACAGCTTAAACTTCAGTCGATAAGTTTTCTGTTTCAACTGACTCCTTCAGTGGGTGCAGTACTTTGTCTTTTTTTTCTTTTCTGAATCCATACAGAATTCAGTAGTCTGGCTCACTAGCACAAGCTATTTTACATTCTAAATAACACATTATTGTGATCTTATTTAGTAGCTTGTAAGTTAGAGTACTTGTGTGCATGTCCACAAAACCTCAGCAGCATAGGTGCTGATAGGATTTTACAGCCTCCACGGAGCTGTGATTCCAGTGTGTTGATGCTCTGTGTTTCAGTGATGTTTACTGGCCCCCATTGATCTTGATCAGTCTATGAAACATGACCAGTTGTGTTAATGGGCTTTCCTTCTCTAGGCTGGTAAGGGGATCTTGCGTACAATGAGGGCATCTAATGATGCTGTGGCCGATCTGGTCCCTGTAGATGTGGTCATCAACACCACGCTGGCTGCTGCTTGGTACTCTGGGTCACAATGTAACAGGTTGGCAGGACAAATATTCTCTCATGTACCTTGTGGCCTTTATTACTTTGAATTTTAAGTATTAAAATGTTTTAACCACCTTTCTCTCTCTCTCTCTGTGTGTGTGTGTGTGTGTGTGTGTGTCTGTGTTTTTGTTTTTGGTTTTTTTTCCCCCCAGGCCTAAAAGCATCTTGGTGTACAACTGCACATCTGGTGGAATCAACCCATTTCACTGGGGGGAAGTTGGTATGACATCTTCTTACTTTAAACACACCTGTTGTGATAGTGGCAGTTGATACACTTAAAATGGGGCATCTCAATGGGACATGCATACATGTTATCTGATCCACTGTTTGCCCTTCCCAAACTGAGGTGCTTTTGGTCACCTGTTCCCTAAAGATCCTGGTTTAGAGCAGAAGAGTTTGCAGAGTTTTTCCCCACTTTTACAACTTGCACATTACTGAATATTCACACCTTTTACACAGCTGTAAACTACAGTATTCACAGCATTCAGCTTTTTCTACATTGTTAGGTTACAGCCTTATTCCAACATGGATTAAATTCATTATTGTCCTAAAAATTCTACAAATGATACCCCGTAATGACAATCGATACCCCGTAATGACAACATGAAAAAAGTAGTTTGAAATCTTTGCAAATTTATTAAAAATAAAACAAAAATCACATGTAAATAAAGTATTCACAGCCTTTGCTCAATACTTTGTTGAAGGCCCCTTAGCACCAATTACAGCCTCAAGTCTTTTTGAGTATGATGCTACAAGCTTGGCACACCTATTTTTGGGCCGTTTCTCCCATTCTTCCTTGCGGTACCCCACAAGCTCCATCAGGTTGGATGGGGAGCGTGGGTGCACAGCCATTTTCAGATATCTCCAGAGATGTTCAATCGGATTCAAGTGTGGGCTACTCAAGGACACTGACAGAGCTGTCTGTAGCCACTCCCCCACAACATGATGCTGCTACAACCAAGCTTCACTGTAGGGATGGTATTGGCCAGGTGGTGAGAGGTGCCTGGTTTCTTCCAGACATGACGCTTGGCATTCAGGCCAAAGAGTTCAATCTTTGTTTCGTCAGACCAGAGAGTTTTGTTTCTCATGGTCTGAGAGTCCTTCAGGTGCCTTTTGGCAAACTCCAGGCAGGCTGTCCTGTGCCTTTTACTGAGTAGTGGTTTCCGTCTGGCCACTCTATCATACAGGCCTGATTGGTGGAGTGCTGCAGAGATGGTTGTTCTTCTGGAAGGTTCTCCTCT